CTCTTTTTTTTTTTTTTTTCCTTTTTGTCTTTTTTCGTGTCCGGCAACGGATCACAACCCTCAGTGTTGCGCCCGCACCTCGCTCAGCCAGTGAGTGGGAACCGGTCTGTATGTGGGATCCGAACCCTCGGCGGGAGCGCCACCGCACTCCCAAGCGGCGCACTGTAGCAGTGCACCACTGGGCCGGCCCCAAAGCCTGGACTCTTACAGTTATGTTATACTGTGTCACTCACCATTATCTTACCGTTATCTTAGGAACGCTTCAAGAGTAGAAACTAATTTATATCTAAATCTCACTTGATAAATTAGCAGTCACAAATTAGCAGCCTGTTGAATTTGGCCCACAGGTATGTTTTGGTGGGCAGATCAGGATGGATGAATGGATGGAATAAAGGAAGGAAGGGGAGGAAAGGAAGTGGGGGGTGGAGAGGAGGGAGGGAGAGAGGAAGGAAACATATATTGATTCATTGACTTTGAATCCTTTCCCCTGGATCCTGGAACACCATGTATGCCACTGTCCCTGCCTTTCCCTCTCATCTCTCATCTTCTACTAGTTTTTGCTTTTTAGGTAACAGCCTGGTCCCAACCCTCTTGACAAAAATAAAGCGTTAGTAGGGTGGCTGAGTTTTCCATGCTGTTGGGAACACCGCCTCCCCTTGCCTTTCTATTGGCCACTTTCCAGAAGCCTCCTCAGGAAGGACAAGAATCCCTATGAGTGTCACAGCCATGTTAAGGCAAAATGCTGACTTTGGAGAAGATTATGATACTTTGCTATATACTCACTTTCTACAACAAACACTCCTACCAAGGACCTGGTGCTATGTAAGATGCCAGGGAAGTAACAAGAATGAGACACACACAGCCCTGGTGACCAGGTAAAGGAAAACTAAATAGCTCACCAACAGCCTGTCTCTCCCGAGGCTCAGCAGTCTAGGCTCATTGCTATCCAGATGAACCCCAAACAGGAGACTTTGGATGCTTTTGTGATGAGAGCGAAGTCTTGCTAAGTATTCCCAGATCCTTTGTCCATTTTTGACTATCACCATGTAAACAGCCACAGTAAAACTTACATCCTGAATGTGAGCAAAAGAGCAGATGTTATTCCTTTTTAAATTCTGTAACTTAATAATCATTATGCTTTTCATACTAATTTTGCTTTTAGAATAGTTTATCCAAAAAAAACCCTTTGTCTACTGAAGCAAGTAGTAAAACAATGCCCATTTTGCAGATGAGAAAATTAAGGATGAAAGTAGATAACTTATGAAGGTAGTGGAGGGAGAATGTATTTATCTGATGTTATGGTCTGACTCTCTTTTTCAAGTCCCTACCTCATTCCTGTGGAAAACCAAAAGCCTGACACTTTTTGCCTTTGTATTCCCTTCTCTTTGTCCAGTTACATAAAATAAAGATATGATTTTTTAAAAACAGTATGATGGCTGAGAGTGAACAGGTGGGAGGAGAGCCCAGCCTGCAGGGACACGGTGCCTGAGCTGTGTGCACCAGCACTGTGCTGGGGCGGCTTCTGGCTTTAAAGCACGGTATATACAAAGCATGAGGAAAGACGGGTTTAAATGAATGAAGATGCAGCTTTTCCCCTCCTGATGTAAAGACAGACCAAGAGAACTGGCAGGAGGGAGAGGTCAGGGGTCTGAGAAACTCTTTCCTAAAATCACCAGCCCTATTCACAAAGGAAGGAACAGAATCTGAAAAACTGGTGGAGGACGCTGCTTTGAGATCAATGAGAATGTCATCCTGTCAAAAATCAGAGGGGAAGATGAAGGAATGGAAGCAGAGACAGAGTTCCCCAAACCTAACAAACCCACAGGAGCCACCAGGGCAGCGGTATCCCAGTCCGGAAGTTCTGACGCACTGGTCTTGTTTTCGGACAAAAATCCTCCGACCTCTCCCACCTCTTTCTCTTTGTATAACAGCTTTATTGAGATATAATTCATATACCACATGATCCACCCACTTAAAACGCACTATCAATGGTTTTTAGTATATGGACAGAATTATGCATCCCTCACCACAAGTTTAGAGCATCTTCATCACCCCAAAAAGAAACCCCCACTTCCACCAGCCCCTCTTTCTTTTGGTTTTAAATATGGTTGCTGAGCCACTGGACAGCCATCATAGAAAATACTTACAGCAGTTGCCATATACTGGGAGTCATGGGAGAAGCTTATATGAGTCACACTGGTTCTGGAATATTTGAAAGGCTCTGGGATTTCACTTTCTAAAGACATTGCATCAAGAATGTAAACTGTCCCCTCTGTGAAGCCAGCTCCAAGAAGGGCTCCTGAAATGACAAGCCAGAGAATAATGATGGAAAAGGACTTCATGCACTCAAGAAATATCAAATCCATGCCAGGCTTTGTTCTGGTGCAGAGGAGACATATATGAACACAAAAATATCCTTATGTGGAGAAATAAACTGAAAAGTGTGACACTTTGGGATGAGCACTCTGTAGTAGGGCCAGAGTGCTGTGGGACCCTGAGAGAGAAGGTATCTCACTTAGCCTGGTAGGAAAGGTCGGGTCTGGAGAAACTTCCTGGAGCTGTAACAGGCAAAGGCATAGCCCCTTTGGGTCTGTTTTCAATTTGGAACTGATGATAGGCTGATAAAATGAAAATACCTTCAGGGTTGTAGGTTAGACTCTGGACTCCAAGCCCCTTCTCAAAGACCCTGCTGTAAAGGTATATTTTCTTTTCATAATCCCACACTTTGATCATCCCACAGACACTTCCAATGGCGATGATGGACTGATATGGGTGGCATGAGATGGCACAAATGGCATCCTTGGGCTCTTTGAATAACTTCTCAAGTTTGGTCCCATCTGTCGTTAAGTGGTACACCGTGGCATCAGATGTTCCAATGACAAGATTCCTGTTTGCCAAGGAGAGACCAGACAGTTATCAGTGTTTGCAGGAAATGGGGCACGCCAGCTATTCTGCTTCTAATTGCACATGAAACGTCTCTGTCGTCTGTAATTTAGTGACATTATTAACCCAACATCTCCAAAAATATACCACCAATAACCAACAGCCTCCATTTGCAAGTGAAAGAGCCCACTTTTCTACATGTAAATTGAGTCATTAAGTATGCAGATGGACAGTCAGTTGTACAATTAGCTAATCTGCACATGCAAATATTCATTTGTGTATGCAAATATGGAGTTTGGTGCACACATACAGATGTGCCTGTAAATACTGCAAGGGTAATTAAGCAGACTCACAGATAATTCAGTCTTGAAATGTTATGGCTATTAATTATCTAATGCCTTTAACCGCAGTGGTTAGGACAAGCTCAGTTTAGAGAAAGGAGATCAGTCTATAGTAAAGAACTTTAGACTCAACAGAGATAAGAGCTCAGGGATAAGAACTTTCCAGCTTCCAGTTACTAATGATTCTTAACATTAAAATAATGTTTAACAAATTTAGAAAATCAAATGGTGACTGTAATCAGCCTCTCAACAGAGATAAGAGCTCAGGGATAAGAACTTTCCAGCTTCCAGTTACTAATGATTCTTAATATTAAAATAATGTTTAACAAATTTAGAAAATCAAATGGTGACTGTAATCAGCCTAGGATATTCATCTAAAGCCAGGAAAGGATTGACTAGGAAGGCCAGGTCTCTCTTTTTCATATCCCAGGAGCAAGATGAACATTCCACTGCACACAAACAAAAAGAAGACATCAATCAATCATTTTTTTGACCGTTCAAATGACTAGATTCATTAACAACTTACCTTACAATAAAAAGGCCACCTTTTAAAGTGCAGTCTGGAGGAAAGTGTGATTTCTCTGTAGGAGTTGCCGGGGTCTTTGAAAAGGACAGAGTTCTTATGGAGTTCAGTTTAAAGTGACTGTACCAGTTAACAATGGACAGAGTGTGATCATAGAACTTAATGTTGCCCTTAATGTCACCTGTGACAATGTAGCTGAAATGGAGAATAACATCAGTTTGTTAAACAGCAGTAATAACTAGTACTATCTATTGAATACCTAATTATATGCCAGGCTCTGGACTCTAGGAATTATAAAAACTACATTAACACCATCCAATAAGGCTGATTTTACTGTTATCCCACTTTACATCTACAGAACTAAAGCTTAGAGAAGTAAAAAATTTGCTCAAGGCCCAGGGTTGCCAGATTTAGCAAATAACAATACAAGATGCCCAGTTAAACTGGAATCTCAGATAAGCAATGACTAATCTTTTAGTATAAATATATCCCAAATATTGCACGGGACATACTTGTATCTGGCAACCCTATCAGGGCCATGTGGCTAGACTATGCAGAAAATCCAGGTGTATCCAAAGCAAAGTCCATGCTCTCTGATACACTCTTCCCTGCCCTCCAAGATCAGCCATATATGATGGCAGTGGGCAGTGATTTACATTCTCTGCCATAAGACTACAGATGACAATAGAGAGAGTTGCTCTACCAGCAATCTGAAGTCACACAGGCTGGCAATGGGACACAAGCCGCTTTATAGGAAGGCACTGATGTTAGAGATCATAAAACCCCTACCCAGTCATCACAGCCAAAGGCAGTGCTGCATGACAAAATGGGTTTTATATCCAGTCCTCAGATCCATCCAAATGGGTTTGTTTTTTTAAGACTCTGACATAATTCTAATCATGGGGGGAGTAGGGAGATAAATTTTCTCTTATATATGCAGAGTGTTTAAATTGGGTTTCTGATTAATAAGCAAGGCAGGTGGGCAGAGTAATTGGCTAGAACATCTTTCACTGCCCTCTGCTGGACAGAAGCAGCAAAACTGGCCAAGAATTTTCAGAGACCTTTTCCTTCCTGGTCTATAGGTCCTGGCTGGGTTTTATTTAACATGGATGCAGACCCTCTGCTGGACAGAAGCAGCAAAACTGGCCAAGAATTTTCAGAGACCTTTTCCTTCCTGGGCTATAGGTCCTGGCTGGGTTTTATTTAACATGGATGCAGGAAAACCCAGGCCTGGTCTTCACTGGTTCCTAACCTCCAGCTCATTAAAAGTTGACCGCATCATCAATTGCAGTTCTACTACTGTCTTTTCGCACCACTGAGTAAGGACGACAATTTGCATTTCTCTTTGTAAAACCATGCCAGGACCTCACTGTTCCCCTGCATCAAAAAATGCAAATGAGGGCCGGCCCGGTGGCGCACTGCTACAGTGCGCCGCTTGGGAGCGTGGCGGCGCTCCCCCCCGAGGGTTCGGAT